GTTCCCAACTTCTTCTCAGTATTCCAGAGTTGCATAGCTGAGTTGAAATGCTCCCATGCACAGAGTTGCTATGCCTGCTAGAAGACCAAATTCCCACACAGGAAAAAAAGTCCATTTGGAAGCTTTCAGATACAGGCTTCCTCCACATGGGAAACTGGTTTAATAACCAGAATTTTTCCTGGAACCCTCTTTTTAGACAGTCACTGTTCTCCAACACAATAAAATCCTTGCAAGTTTCCAATTGTCTGCAGAATTGTGGGGATGACTTTTTAAACATGTTTCTGTCACTGATGGAACTGGGCAGTTGGTGGGAAAGGCAGCTAGAATTGTCAACAGGTACTTGTGGGAAGTTAATATTTCAGGCTAGGAAAATAATATTGGAAGACAACCCTTTTCTGAATGTTAGCAGATAAAACTCTTAAATTAAGTTCTAAGATATGCTGGGGAAAACTTGGCTATCTTTAAAACTAATACATATTTGAGTGTAGTTAAGTATTATTTTAGTGGTAGGTGTGTAATCCATTCGCAAGCTATTTAAATACTCTGTCAACCACTGTGCTGGTTGCTGTTAGTCCTAATAACAGACTCAAGACTAGCAGGATCATTATGGGTGTCTCATTTGAGTCTGTTCCCATTATTGGCTTGAAATGGTAGGAATGTGAAAAATGTTCCATGCACAGAACAGCCAGTTTTGGGTGGCCAGTGCCTGAACTGAAATGCACATCAGTGGACAGGCTGATGGGATATGCTGTGTCAGGACACTAGCAGTGGCAGCAGAGAGGCTGAAAAGAAGGGAAAGTCCTGAAAAAATGAGGGAGGCCAGCTGGGAGCTACAGAAGGGAGGTGGAATGACATGCACCAGCCTTGCCCTACTCAACTTTGTCTCATCCAAAATATAGAGTTTAACTAAAATGTTCCAGGTTTTGGTTTTGTGACTCTGGTTGACCTGAACCAGCAGAAACTCTAGAAAGTGATGATTTCTCATTGTTTCATGCATATACTTACTCTCCATCCATCACTGAGTCGGGATGAAATTTGTTTTTCCCAGTTGCTGATCCATATCCTACCTCTGTTGCCAGACCCTGCTGGCCTGGGAATTGAATATATTTTTAACTTACTGAAATGATCACAATACTGCTGTTCTGATGCCATATTTCATAGCTCTGACAGCTGAAAATACACTGCTGAACACTGTGCATCCAATTTTCTCTTTTTAAAATTATAATAAATATTTTGGTTGCATTCTCTTAGGTGTACAAAATACAGTGGATTTCACTTTCATGGTAACTAGTGTTTTTTGGTAATTAGCTGGGAAATATCCAGTTAAATAAAATATTTTATGTATTTCGCATGGTTATATAGAAACACAGTTTTCTTAAGACTGAATGGATGCAGCTCATTTTTTTTTACCAGTTGACTTTAATATCACTATCTCTTTCAAGGACGTGCATTCTTAGATATTTAATAGCTTTTTTTCTTTTCAGAAATGCATACAGTACTGGATTTGAAGGGTGAGGGACATTTATCTGCTGCGCTATATGTGTCTGTTCAGTATTGCATAAGGCAAATAAAGACAATTGTTTTTTTAAATCTAGAAAGGTATTTAGTATTTTGGAACTCAGTTTTTTCAGAATTTAGAAAACATTTTCCTAAACACTTGAATATACATACATAGAGAAATGTTGTAGTTTTCAGTGAGTCCCAAAAATAACCCAGGAAGTTTAATCTGCAATAAGATATTAACTTTTTAAGAGTTCTATTTTTCTTTGTACAATTTATGAAGATTGAAGAATATCTATGGCCTAAAATGTCATCTATTTGACTACAAAAATAACTATCTAATAAATTAACTGTATACATGGCTTCTCTACTCTGCTGCCTCACCACAAACATGCATGACAGAGGCATACGCAGACATGGATAGCTTGACTGATTGATTCATCCAGCTTTTGTCCCGCTTCAGATCTGACTCTAAGTAGTTTACAGTACTTAATAGACAAGGCATAATAATATGACAGCTATACATAAGCAATAATATCTAAGTCTAATATATACTGATATAACATTTATGGTGTCCTGTCTTTCTTACAACAGTCCTCTAAAATCCAATTGCCTTAACTTTTTGGAAGGCCGTGAGGGAAAAACCCATTCTCACTTCTGGCGACAGCTATTGCATAGGAAGGGAGACTCCACAAGAATGCCCGTGTGACACCCAACAGTTATCAAAACAGTGAAGTGCAGACTGCTCCTCCTTCACAAAAGAGGCAAGCTTCTAGCCTACTACACTGAAAAAGCAGGAGGACAAATGTTGCCTTCCTCAATTGCTTAGATACAGGAGTCTCACTTGAAGGTAGGTGACTTGCTAGAATTCTTGTGTTGTGATCTCAACCTTTTTAAAAATACTATTCTGGAGCTCTTTGATTCTTGTTCCTTGGATTAATGGTTTCCAGTCTAGAGTCAGAGTTCTGTTTTGGCTTCTCAGGGCACACTGCCAGCTGATAAATCCCTCTGTCACCATATCTGCTGTCTTCCTGGCTGAACTGGTGAGGTCTGCAAGTACACCCCTCTATGGCACCAATGCCCACATCCACTGCTGAACTTGGTCCTCTGGTGGCATGCTGCCTCCCTTAATATGAATGACAATGCAACTACCGCTCTTGCCTTTTCACACTCAAAGAAAAGTATGTGCACTGTCAATCTGGCAAATATGCCCTCTTCTGTTGTTGTGTGTGTTCTTGGATTAGGATCATTTGCTGGTAGATGTACAAGACGAAGCCTCCACTTTTCCTCATAGCTTATGTGGCATCACTACAGCAACCCAGCACACAGTAAAGTGCTGCCAGAGTTGAATGTCAGAAAGCAGAGGCACTTTGTGAATGTTCCCCTCCCCCCTTCTGTCTCAATAGTCATCATTCCGTGACCAGTGATTATATGTGTCACTGGGCTCTCTATATCTTTGTTATGAAAGGTTTTTTCCTACTTTTGCAAATTTTAGAAGTTGTTCTGCTTTTGCTCACATCACGTGCTTGGGTGCAACTTTGGCTACATAAGCAGGAATATTCTTGGCTGAAACCAGTGGTGGAAGGATGCTTCTTTCTTTTTACTATTTTTAAACTCATTTGTTTTCTCTGCTTCCCCTCCTGCACAGTAGGGTACTGAAGGCTGGGGAGGCTGCATTTTCCTCTGGATTGCCTGCTCTGAATTTAGACATAGCTTGAAGTAGTTCTAGGGCCACAGATTGTCCATTCTTGATATATATAACTACAGAAGGCAGACATTGATCTAACTGAATTTCCTGAAAGAACACGATATGATTATAGTACCCTATTTGCTTAAGTATCTCCAGCATGGCTTACAATGTGGCTCTATTTCTGAAATCACCATTTATTTTTTTTTTTGCACCACAGGTGGGCTAATTTTAATCTTGCATGAAGTTTACTTTAAAAAAAAAATGTGGTCCACTGCAATGTTTACATCTAGAAATGGGATGTGAGGGTGATCTGGCTGGGACATCTGTTACCCCATTGATCGCCAGGGTTGATTCGGCTGATCTGGCTTGCTAGGTGGGTGTCCCCTTCCTCCCTCACCGCTCCATGTGCGTTCCTCCCGAAGCTGTGCGCTTGGTGGAAGAGGACGACCACCCCAGATAGGAGTGTACCGATCTTGGGTCAAGGGTATACGATAGCTGCGCTCCCTTGCTAGAACCTCCAAACAAGCTCATCTAGAAATGTTCTCATAGTCTCTGAACACCTAAAGCAAATTGTCACTTTTGAGAACTAGTGTAATTAAGGCATTAGACTGGCACCAGGGTGGCCCAGGTTCTAATCCACCCTCAGCCATGGAAGCTCACTGGGTTACTTTGGGCCAGTCAGTCTCTCTCAACCCAACCTATCTCACAAGGTTGTTGCTGTGGGGGAAAAAGAAGAGGAGCCTGAGCTCCTGAACAAAAGTCAACATACAAAGCTACCCCCCCCCAATAATTATATACTCTTGTTTAATAATATGATAGTTTTCAGATTCAGATGATGATTCATAATCTAGCTTTTGAAAAACCCCACAGCTATCAGAAATTGGTAGAGTTTTAAGGTCTCCAGTAGACCCACACAACACTGCAGTTGGTATAATAATTCAAGCAGTTTTCTTCAAATTAGGTTCCTTCTGATACATTGGTCGATTGCAATGATCTGAAGATTGTAGCACTCTGAAGCCTTTGATATAAACCTTTGTGTATTAGTATTTATTGTGGCATTTTAAACTATATTCTGATTGGCTTTGTGTGTTTCCCTCTTCATCACTTGATTATTGATTTTTTTTAATGTTATATTGTTCGATGCTGGTCTTTGGCAGTAATAAAGTTTAAGTTTCAAGTTTGTGGAATATAGCCATCTTCATCAGATGGTTGAAAGCATGAGAGTCACTAGATGTCATAAATTCCGACAAAGCAGTCTTTTATCTATAAAACTTTAGGTCACAATCAATCTGCTCATTTTTGGCTGTGTCACATATCATTTTGTTTAAAATGTCTCAAGATTCTTATGTCTGATGGGTTATTTTAAAAAATTAATAAAGGAATGATTAAAGAAGATTGGATTCTGAAGTCTCTAGTGAGTCCAGGTTACATGCAGAATTGTGCTAAGAATAAAAAGCCTTAAATCTGAATGGGCAAATGTAACATAGACAGATGGAGACATTCTTTTTCTCCCGCCTCCTCTCCAGTCAACTATTCTGGTACCCTAGTGACTCGTCGGACGCCAGTCTGATACAATTCCCCCGCAATCTTTCCCCACGCAACTTTCTCCTCTAGAAAGGCAAGTGGACGGAGCACGCCACCGCCTTTGCCGGGCATCCCCCCCCCCCGCGCCCCCCGGCCGGGATGCAGGCACCGGAAGTGGGGACAGAAAGCGGCGGCGGGAGGGAATCGCCGGGAAAGGGGGCGCGCGGAAAAGAATTTTCGTGGAAAGCTTTGGCGCTTGCGCAGTGGCGGCCGCTACTGTTGGTCGGTTGCTCCGCGCCTCCGCTGAGGACTGGTCAGTAGGTGGGAGGCAGAGAGTGAACGTGAGCCCCGCGGCCAGCCGGGGGTCGGCGGGGCGCACAGCGAGCGGCGGAGGACGCGGACGTAACTGCAGCAGGCGTTGTGGAGAAAAGGCAGGACACCTGGCTTTTTGAGGAGGGGGAAAGGGGGGAACAGAGGGGCGGGGTTGAGCGCGCACGCGCGCGCGCGAGGATGTGAAGATGGCGGAGCTGCAGATGCTGCTGGAGGAGGAGATCCCGGGAGGGCGCCGGGCCCTCTTCGACAGCTACACCAACCTCGAACGGGTCGCCGAATACTGCGAGACCAACTATATCCAGGTACGGTGCGGTCGCTGTCTTTCCTATTGCTCCCTCGCTGCAACAAAAGAAAAAGAGGGGATGAACGCTCTGAGTGCGCGCTCGTATCCGTGTATGCATGTATGCTTGCATGCATGCATGCATGTCATACGAAATGTCGATGCCCCTCTCCTCTCCATCCAAGGGATCTCAGCTGGCCTTTGAGGCCTAGAAGGAGCTTGGAATGGTATGTGAGTGAGAGAAGGAGAGAAGCGGAGAAGAGGTGGGTGCTCGTTTAATGCCCACGCAAAAAGCCGCTGGGTATAGATTTGAGAGAGGTGCCCCTAATCCAGAGGTTTCCTTTCAGAAAGATGTGTCCTGTTCACAGGCTGATAACGCCTGGAACTCCGCAGATATCGGGAATCTCTGAGAGCATAAAATGCTTCCCGTTCTGTGACTGGAATGCTGTGCTATATGTGTGCTTGCTACACTTTGAAAATAAAGGCAAAATGTGAAAAAGGAAATTTTACCCAGGTGACAAGAATAAATCCTCTAACCCTGACCCCACATGTGAAGATGCTACTCCTCAAGAGATGTTTGTTAGATGTAGCTTTATTAAGGATTTCTTTCTTTTTTCTCCTTGGAAGGTGTGCTCCATTTAATAACTACAGTAATGTTAATGCTGTGTTCCTTATAAGAAGATACTAGTTGATCACATAATTCAAAGCCCAAGTTACCAGACTGCCTGATTTGCTAAAATTGTGATTTGGCAACAGTTCTGAATGTGATGTCAAACTGTACTCAGCTTCAAGGCTGCTACTGTGATGTGGTAATAAGCCAAATATATGGCTGGCTATCTGATTACTGTTCTGATATTTCTGCTGATTCTTCAAAGAAAAAAAAAAGATTTTCTCTGGATAAACAAGGCTAGAGACTGACATGATGCTTTAGTATTCAAATTGAAATCATAATCTTTTTAGCTTAGAACTTTATATGCATTTTAGGTGGCCTCATCCCAGCCTTTCTGTCTCATTTATAAACAAGTGATGTTCTTAGTATTCGTATTATTATTACTCAATGTGCAGTGTTATTAATATGTGGTAATATAATTTAGTAGCTTTCTACCTGGTGGCTAGAATTCTGTTTCAAAATTTTTTTTCAGAGAAGTTGGTTTGACCAGTTAGAGCATTATTACTGAACTCTGAGAAGATGTCAACAGAAAAAAATCAGTCAGATTTTGCTGGGGAGATGGATCGTTGTAAATGAAGATTTAACTATGGCTTCCATATTGACAAAGAAGTAATAGGATGTGTTGAACAATTGAATGCAGTGATCTTGCTTCATGGGGGAGTTATGAAATTGCAGTTGCTTTTTTTGGTTAGCACATAGGTTTTTATTGCTTGTGAATTGGTTTAGCTACCTATCTGTGATCTTGTATGTAAAGCTTAAATTTTCATTTAATCCATTTCAACACATTTGGATCTTAAGGAATAAGTGAAGAAAAGATGGGTAATTCTTTTCTCTCTTATGTAATATTTTCCTTACTTTTTAACATATCGTTCTGATGACATGTTTCTGGTTTGAAGATTAAAATGTATGTGGCACTGATAAAAATTCTGAAGTTTTAGAACTTTCCTTTTTCTGTGTATGGTGTAAATAAATAAAAACAAGTTTTTGGAAGCAAAGCATATTCATAAGCAGTTTATATCTTCATGCATATGAGTGTACATATTTGAAGATCAAGAGAAGGCCCAAACATTTTAAAAAGCACTAGAAATGTGCACTGTGATTTGTTTTTCCTGAATTGGATATTGAATTTTATAATCTGAAATCTTTTGTACTTAGTCTGTCTTGGGGCATGTATGGCTTCATTGTGGTATTCTTTATATATAGTGAGTTTTTAGTCCAGGGTGAACATAAAATTTTTCTTTGTGATACTGACTCATAAAATGAATAAAATATTTTTTATTTATGAATAAAAAATGAATAAAATATTTTGCTTAAAGTTGTTGGGAGCCATCAGGGTTGCATTTTTTTTTATTGGAAGGATTTATTTTAACATTCTAACTAGCTAAAATATAAAGTTGTATGGCTTCATTGTGGTATTCTTTATATATAGTGAGTTTTTAGTCCAGGGTGAACATAAAATTTTTCTTTGTGATACTGACTCATAAAATGAATAAAATATTTTGCTTAAAGTTGTTGGGAGCCATCAGGGTTGCATTTTTTTTTATTATGTATTGGTTTTGATTTTAATCATAATGCTTAAAGATGTATTCTGTTAACCTGAACTGGGATAATTGGATTTCTGAAAGACTTTGCTGAAATGATGTGATATGCCAAGGGAATCTTTATCAACATGTTATGATATTATAGTCTTGGAGCATGCCAATGAAAAATGTAGAACTTAAGGGATAATAGTTGAACAGTTTTAGATAGCACTTTATATTTTAGCTAGTTAGAATGTTAAAATAAATCCTTCCAATAATTTTTGTGCAAATGTTTGTGCAGGAGTGAGTAGCTTTCTTTAGATTATTTCTAAGTTACCTGCTGAAAAGCCAAAATCTGGTCTGTACTTCTGTAGCACATTATTTTCAATCTGTTTCAAGCAGCTTCTTTTTTTCATTCACTCTCCATTTATCTGGTGGAGATTATTATCTTCTAAAAGTTTTTCATATGGGATTCATGCTTTCTTTTCATGAAGTCATTCTTTCGCTCACCTCCTTATTTTTTCCATGCCCATTTTCCCCAAGTTGCACTTTTGACACTATAAAAAAAATGGGCTGCTCTGCATTTAGATCATTTGTCTTGCATCCTTCATTAACTCTCTCATAAGGAACAGACTTTTTCCTAAGCACATACTTATTAAACAGTCATCTTTCCCATTCATTCCTGGTTCTGAATGGCCTAGTTATGTTTTGAATACTCTTCTATTTCATTCTCACCTATCCCTTCAGGTAACCTAGAAGAACATTTTTTCCCAGATCATATTCATTCAAAATGTTTTACAATTTTCCAAAAAATGACCTCTTGTTTTTCCATTCACTGGAACATAACATACAACTTTCACTAACCTATGGATTCCAATGTTGATACTCACCCAAACAACCTTGATACCAATTCATCATGATATACATTTTGGTATTTTCACTCATAATTGTACCCATACCATGTTCCTGCATGTATTCATCAAAACACTCCACAGGATCAGGCCCTGTTCACTCAATGTATTACAATTTTCCTGTATCTCTTTGTTTCATAACCACACAACCTTCTTTCTTCCTTCCTTGAATTCATGCTCTTTACCACTTCCATATGCCATTGTTGTCACCAGTTGGATACATAGATATTAACTGCTGCCACTCATTGTGATGCTTTAATAAGATAGAGAAGATATACATTGAGTTACCAATCTTAATTATACCCATATTACATGCAGCATTCCCAGCTGAGGACAGTACTGATCAGTTTTGGCACATTTTGGTGTCTATGTCATAAATGCAGTCAGAGCTGTTTTACCCCAAGCATGATCATACTGTAGTGAACAAGTTTGCATCTCTAACCTATAGATTTTCTTGTAAGCCAATATACTCTTGTCTGTATCTCACCACCTGAAGAGTTAAAGGCAGCTATTGATACATAGTCTGAGAGCACAGGAAAAAAAATCTTTAAAAAATATTTTTATTTTTTTTCCAAGCCTTTACATCTCTAGATAAATTAGAATTTTGAAAAATTATGACATGCTACTGGCTCATTATTAATTTGGCAAATGACTTTGATTTTACTGTATATGTTTGAACTTGAATTGATTTTTAGGTGGGTGTTTTATTGTGAATGATCCAGAAAGCGTTGGCAATTGGGCTGTTTATTTATTTATTTACTTGTTTATAATAAATGAAGTGCCGTGTTGTGGGAATAAGATTGTAATATCATGGGGGAAAACATGGCAAGCTACTGGTACTATTTTTCCCTTGCATTATTAGGCAAATGAGAAAAACATTACATCTTAATCAAAATTATGTCATAAATTGATAATAGTTATGTAATACAGTTCTCATGTTAAATGAGCAAAACTAAAAAAGCCTGAACCTGGGTTGTTGCCTTCATTTATTTTGACTCCTGGCATTTCAGTTTAACTAAACAGAAAAGAATTTTCCAGATATGAAAGTTAGATTTCAGTTTGTATTTGAACTTTCTCATGCAATGTTTTCTCAGATATGGAGCTGTATTTAATGCATTTTTACTCAAAAGCAGACTTATTGCATGTTGCAGGTGTACTAAAATCTTTATAGAGTAAATCATCAATTTAATGTATCAGTTGAATGGATGTGAGGTGTTCATTAAATCTGAATGCCTTTTAAATCTGAATTTACATCATCTGCATCAATTTACATCATTTGTGTAATTATATAATTAACATAAATGGCCTCATTTGCAGTAAAACTTTGATTTAATGGCTAAACCCTCATTTTCATGGCTAAACCCTCAATTTTACAGGCAGTAGACATCGAGTTGGATAGAGTGTGAACAGAAAATTTTTTCACTGTATATGATGTCTGCTAAACTAGCTATTTAGTGGACAGATCTTTGATTTAACACACATTCAACATTAAATGGGGGTGGTCTCCAAATGAAAAAAATTGTCTGTTGTATGTGAAATTCGCTAATTGGGGTCCATTAAAATATTTTTCTGTATTACCATGGGATTAGAAACATACCAATTAATGGATATTTAAAAAAAAAAAAAGAATTCCTCACGTATTGAAAAAAGTTGCTGTTTCTGAATGAAGTTTGGTACTTCTGTATCTTAAAAAAAATCTATGTATTGCTGTTTCATTTATAACATATGTAAGTAAAAACTTAATCTTCTGTTTTCCACTCAGCTGTATTTTAAAGGAAAAAGTGGTGATTTATACATCCATATGCCCTTCATACTTTTTCTGAGATGCATGTATTTTTAGAAAATATTAGAAAATGTCTTATACAGATAAAGAGATATGTAGCAAAACCAGATTATTTAAGGAAATATTTAAAAATGTATG